TATATCCAACATCTTTATGATTCCTTTGATTGATGGACCTCTCTAAAGCAAATTGATAATGACATGATGTCTTTTATTGCTAAAGCTCAATCAACAGTTGAAGAATTGAAGATATTCCCATAGGTTGACAAAATTTTGTTAACCTATTGTTATAATCCTTTGTGCCATGAATCAAAATTTTGATCATTTTAGGGATCAAATTTTAAATGGTGAAGAAATTTCTTATGTGGAAAGGTTGACAACACGACTCTTTTATGTTCCAACTCATAAGAGTTGAGATATTTAAGAATATGCTGAGTCTTCTACCATGGTATCTACTCATGGAAGAGGAGGTCATAGCCCTATAGGAGTGCATGGTGGTAGAAGATATCCTCAATGCATAGGTCATACGCAAGAAAATTGCTATCCTTTTCATGACTTTTCTGACAAGACAGCTAACATATCCTAATTCGAAGTTGTTGAACCAAAGTTATCTAATGAAGAATATTAGAAATATTTGAGGTTGAAATCCAACAGTCTACCACAATCGTTTACAACTAGGAACATGTTAACAAATTGCATTTCGCAATATGTGGAGAGTCAAAGTCCATGAATTGAAGAAGTAACTCACCTCTCTAACAACAAATAGAATATATGGTCTTGTTATATTGAGATCCCTACAAGGATGCCTAGGTTTTGTACCGGCTTTCCATTCCTTGTTAGAAGTATATGAACTCATAGGCTTTGCTGGTTTCTCCTGGAATGTCTTCTTTCCCTCAAATGTTAATTGTATTTCCTATACAGATATCTTATAGCAGAATTTTTACTGTTTGCAGGTATCGTTGCTTTAAAGAACATTCCATCTTGTATTTGATTTTACATGTACATGTTCTGGATGTAGTTTATTTGATTATTAACTCAATACAAACTTTAGACTGGATTTATGACCTATTCCTATCTTATGTAAAGTATTGTCAGTAAGAATGGTGTGATATATTGAGAAACTTAATCTTTTAATGTTTAGCATGAGCAAGAGTATTTTTATTGATTATTTTCCTCAAAGTTATTCGTATACTAATATTAAATGCATATATTATATTAATTTAAAATTCTATCTTTTTTAGGTCCATGATCATTCAAGAGTATTTGTTCTTGAAATTGGGACTGAAGAGATGCCGCCTCAAGATGTTGTTGATGCCAGTAATCAAGTATGACTTGTTTTCATCTAATTAAGAATCATGAATATAGTAACCTTCACTTTATCATTTGTTTAACTTCACATATGGATTTCAAGTGTGTTCTTTTTTACTTTTTACGTGATATAATTTATAAATTCTTTCAGCTATTTTCTAGACAACTATTACTATTTTTGTATTATGATTTTTCCTGTGAATTATTATTATTATTATTCATTCTTTAATATGGATTTTACTATGCTTGTCATGTAGCTGAAATATTTAATGCTGCAACTGCTTGAGCGGCAAAGGTTAAACCATGGTGAAGTGCAAGCATTTGGAACTCCACGTAGATTAGTGGTGAGGGAATAAACTTTATCTTTCATATGCAATTCTTGTTTCTTCATGCATTGCATTGTACTTAATTCCTCACCCTTATTGTTCCTACCCTCTAAGTTTTATCTCATTTGAAGAACTTGAATGAAGTAAAACAGTGTATTTTCTTATTACACTGTTACAATTTTACTACTGTATATTTATGGTACAAAGGAGCATACTACAAAGGGTCAAGGCACTTCCTTAAACCCTAACCTAATAGTTGGGTTCCCATACATTATAATAATAAAGAAACATTACATTTCAACCCTTTCCCTCAAGCTGGAGCATATAAATCATATACACCAAGCTTGGAACATATAAATTGAATTCTAGGTCTCTTTAGAGACTTAGTGCAAATTGTTCATTAGAGCTGATAAACTCAGTAATAAGATCTTTGGACAATAGCTTCTCTCTAACAAAATGACAATTAATTTCTATATGTTTTATTCTCTTATGAAACACTAGATTGGAGGCAATGTGAAGGGTTGCTTGGTTGTCACAATACAACTTCATTTGCTCATTTTCAAAAAATTTCAGCTCTTGAAGGAGTTGTTTAAACCACACAAGTGCACATCTAGCTAGAGCCATAGGTCGATATTTCGCTTCTGCACTAGATCAAGCAACAACACTTTGTTTCTTATTTTTCTAAGATACAAGGTTCTCTCAAAGGAATACACAATATCCTATGGTAGATCTTTTGTCAATTGGACAACCAGCCCAATCTGCATCACAATATCCTTTGACTTGAGTTCTTCCCTTGTTCTCATACAACAATCTCTGTTCTGGGTTCCCTTTTACATATCTGAGAATGCAAATCACAGCATTCCAACGATCAATGTGGGGACTTTGCATAAATTGGCTCACAACTCCCACTGGATAAGAAAGATCAGGTCTTGTTATGGTGAGATAGACAAGTTTTCCAACCAACCTTCTGTATCTCTCTGGGTCTGAGAAAAGTTCACCTCGTTTGTCATTAACTTTTGATTTGAGTCCATAGAACTATCAATGGGCTTGCAATTTGCGAGGCTTGTTTCATCCAAAATATCAAGAGCATATTTTCTTTGTGAAATGATGACCCCTTCTTTTGATTGTGCCATTTCAATACCAATAAAATATTTTAGACAACCCAAATCTTTGGTCTGAAAGTGGCTGAACAAATGATTCTTTAATTGAACAATTCTAGTGACATCTCTTCTTGTAATAATAATATCATCAACATAAACCATAGGATAAATAGATTTTTCAGGAGAAGAATGATCATAAAACACTGAATGATCCGCCTCACATCGTTTCAATCCAAAATTCTGCATAACACGATTAAATTTACCAAACCAAGCTCGAGGTGATTGCTTCAAGCCATAGAGTGAACGATGTAATTTACAAACTAACTTAGACTCCCCCTAAGCAACAAACCTAGGAGGTTGTTTCATGTATATGTCCTCTTCTAGATCACTATGAAGAAAGACATTTTTAATGTCTAATAGGAAAGGGGTCATTCACGAATGACAACCATAGCATTTCAACAATCGCATTATAATCTATGTTTTGTATTAAATGATAAAATCTTATGTGAAGCATTTGCAATAATTCCTTTCAAGATTAATAGATAGTATCACCAAAATATATGGATAGAATCATAAATACAACCGAAGAACTTTATGTTTTGTTCTTGCATAAAATATTCAAATTTTATAATTCTTAAGATATGAAATGACAGTAATCATAAACTTTTCGTATTGTGAATTTCACAGGTTGTTGTTGAAAATCTTTACACAAAACAGGCTGAAAAGGAGGTTGAAGTTCGAGGCCCTCCTGTTTCAAAAGCATTTGATCATGAAGGAAATCCAACAAAGGTTTTACTATGCTTGAGGCTTTTCTTTTTATCCTAAGTTGATGTTCATGAAATGGTGCCTACATTTATATTTTTTGTATCAGGCCATTGAGGGTTTTTCTCGTAGATACTCTGTACCACTGGACCTAGTATTCAGAAAAGTCGATGGTGAGTATTCAGAAGAAGACTTGTTTACTGAGTGTATTTTACTGCTAATATACCTCTGTACCATAAGCTCAGTCCTGTAATAGGTACCTAATGTTGCAGGAAAAACAGAATATGTTTATGCTCGTGTAAAGGAGTCTTCAAGATATGCTTTGGAGGTTTTTGTTCTTTATTTCCTTGTCTCTCCCTTTTGTGCGTTTTATGTGTTCTGTTAAAACAAGTATCGCAAATGTGAGTGTCTGTTTCTTAAAGGTATTTCTTTAAACCTTTTAATCCTAAAATAATTAAATAGGCCAATATTACTATGACATATTCTAATAATATGATTTATAAATGTTGTATGTAGAGTCCACTGAGCACTTCATTAAATGAAATGAAGCTTAAGATAATAGTGCAATATTGTACTCTTGGTTTCACTAAAAAGTGCTTTGTAAACTTAATAGTCTTAAAGACAAAATTTTGGAGATGTACAAACCTAATCGACTATAGAGAATACCAGCTGTTTTGATGAATGAGTTTTGATTATGTCCAGTTAGTTACCTATGTTAAGCTTGGGAGACTGATTTTGATTGAAGTTCCATTTATCATAAGACAGTATACATTTATGATATCTAATAGTTTGCCAAAGATACCTAATTTCTTCTATTTACTGTTATATCATTCNTTGAAAATCTTTACACAAAACAGGCTGAAAAGGAGGTTGAAGTTCGAGGCCCTCCTGTTTCAAAAGCATTTGATCATGAAGGAAATCCAACAAAGGTTTTACTATGCTTGAGGCTTTTCTTTTTATCCTAAGTTGATGTTCATGAAATGGTGCCTACATTTATATTTTTTGTATCAGGCCATTGAGGGTTTTTCTCGTAGATACTCTGTACCACTGGACCTAGTATTCAGAAAAGTCGATGGTGAGTATTCAGAAGAAGACTTGTTTACTGAGTGTATTTTACTGCTAATATACCTCTGTACCATAAGCTCAGTCCTGTAATAGGTACCTAATGTTGCAGGAAAAACAGAATATGTTTATGCTCGTGTAAAGGAGTCTTCAAGATATGCTTTGGAGGTTTTTGTTCTTTATTTCCTTGTCTCTCCCTTTTGTGCGTTTTATGTGTTCTGTTAAAACAAGTATCGCAAATGTGAGTGTCTGTTTCTTAAAGGTATTTCTTTAAACCTTTTAATCCTAAAATAATTAAATAGGCCAATATTACTATGACATATTCTAATAATATGATTTATAAATGTTGTATGTAGAGTCCACTGAGCACTTCATTAAATGAAATGAAGCTTAAGATAATAGTGCAATATTGTACTCTTGGTTTCACTAAAAAGTGCTTTGTAAACTTAATAGTCTTAAAGACAAAATTTTGGAGATGTACAAACCTAATCGACTATAGAGAATACCAGCTGTTTTGATGAATGAGTTTTGATTATGTCCAGTTAGTTACCTATGTTAAGCTTGGGAGACTGATTTTGATTGAAGTTCCATTTATCATAAGACAGTATACATTTATGATATCTAATAGTTTGCCAAAGATACCTAATTTCTTCTATTTACTGTTATATCATTCATAAATATGCTTAGTCTTTCCAATTGTTTCTCATCTAATACATAATAAAAGGAAATTCAAGGCAAATTCACTTGAGATAGATTTAAGCACAATTTCTGACCACGGTTCCATGATATGATGCAAGAGTTGAGATATGAATCTTACACCCTGTCATCTAGGGTTTATTTCTCTTGCTTCTTGCACATTTTATGGGAAAAATGCTATAGCTGCTGATTTCTTCTACTTTTATCAGGTCTTGTCTGAAGATTTGCCTGCTACTATTGCTAAAATTTCATTTCCAAAGACAATGCATTGGAATTCTCAGGTATGCTTAATCTTTAAGGTTGTATATCTAGGAAACACGACACTTTATCAGCATAGATCTTAAAACATCTGAAGATAGATAGCTTTTGTCGTGAACTAACTCTCCCAAAAGCTAAGTTGTTAGGTGAATTGAAGATACATGAGTAACTTTATATCTCAGATCCCCTATTATGCACAACCCTTTTGTGCTTCAAACATGGACATTGCACCTACCTATTGTCTATCATACCTGTTTGCTGATACTGAATTTTGACTTTTAGTACTTGGAAGAATGGGGGCAACAAACTAACGATCACATGATTATAGAGACTCTGATATCATATCACAAACCAACACTTCCCAAAGCTTAAGTTATAAGGTGAAGACATTGGGATGATTTTATTTTACATTTCTGGAGATCACTAGACATGGGGATGGTTTTAATATTAAGTCTCTAACATAGTGATTAGTACATTACTTACAATTACTACAGCTAATAGTATATACTAATAATAGGGTATTGCAAATAAATGCCATAAGGGTATATGGTTAAAAAGCATTGAATACTCTCGGTTACTAAAAAGAACAAGTATTAAATAATTTGTGTTTTTAATATAATAAATGTTTTTTTCATTAAATATTTCATACTTTTGTTTCCTTAACTAGTTTATTAGGACATTCAATTTGCCTGTTGTCATAGAATAGTCGTATGAGCAGCAGGAAAAAGGAGTGAATAATTGAAAATTATATAATGCTATCATGGGGTTTCATTGTGGAGTAAAGGAAATCACAGGTTACATAAATTAACATGTTTTGAAACTTTTAACATGCAGGTGATGTTTAGCAGGCCTATCCGTTGGATTTTAGCTCTGCATGGAGATGTAGTAGTCCCATTTACGTTTGCTGGTGTGACAAGGTAATTTATTCTTGGTAAAATGTCTTCGGAGGTCCCTATTTCTGCGAATTCATATCAATTGGGTCCTCGTATTTTGAAAGTTCTCAATTGGGTCCCTATTTTGGTAAAATTGAGTCAATAATACCCTTGTCGTTAATTGCTGTGGACGGCGTTAATTTTCTTGCGATGTGGCATGCTGAGGTGTCCTTTAATTACGACGTGGCACAGGTTAACCAACCAGAACATACCACCTCACGCCTTCTGCCACACCATCTATGTCTTCTCCACATAAACCTTAATTCCCAAACCCTAGCTACTATGCGCCGCCACCGCCATCCTCACCAGCAGTCGTCTGATCAACCTTCGCCGTGAACCTCCATGGCTGTCGCAAGTCCTTTGTCACTCTCCTCCTTCATCAATCGCAAGCAACCTGCAGAAGATTAAACCACAAAACCCATAATTGCGCATCTGCTTCTCGCGCGAGAATCTACTCCAACATCTTCTCCATGGCAGCCACACGAATCACACATCAACTCCATTGAAGCCGCCACCACGAAATCGCCACGAGACCTGCATACCAGAAATCGCCACCAAGTGCCGCTGTGAAAGTTCCAATCGCGAGTTGTAGGCGGCGCAAATCACGGCCTCAAGAGTGTTGTCCTCGGCTGCCGACATGAACTCACAACATTCGTCGACAGTGTGGCTACCGAAGCTGACGGCGTGGTTCTTCTGGCATTCTCGGTACCGTACCGCGGCGGTGCCGAACGCCCCCTTCCGTCCCTCGCCGTCGACTTTTGAGCTTCATATTCAAGGAATCCGAACGCCCCCAACCGGATCTTCCCAGTGTTATAGGATATCATTGAAGAGTCAACCGAACGGTGGAAGAAGTCTGAGGCTACCGAACNTATCCTTTGCAGTTGGAGTGGTTAGTCAGTTCATGCAGGCTCCATGTGTTGACCATTGGAATGCTCTCATTCGCATTCTAAGGTATGTAAAGAAGGCTCCCGGGCAAGGATTGTTATATGAAGATAAAGGAAGCATTCATGTCTCTGGGTATTGTGATGCAGATTGGGCAGGTTCACCTATTGATAGACGGTCTACAACAGGATATTGTGTTTTTCTGGGAGGAAACATTATTTCATGGAAAAGTAAGAAACAGAATGTAGTAGCTCGATCAACCGCGGAAGCCGAGTATAGGGCAATGGCATCATTAACATGTGAACTTATATGGGTGAAACAATTCCTTCAAGAGCTTAAATTTTGTGACATCCATACTATGAAGATGTATTGCGACAATCAAGCTGCTCTCCACATTGCATCAAATCCAGTGTTTCACGAGAGGACTAAACATATAGAAATTGATTGTCATTTTGTTCGTGAAAAGTTGTTGACCAAAGAAATATGTACTGAGTTTATTGGGTCAAACGATCAACTCGCAGATGTATTGACTAAGTCATTAAGGGGTCCTCGGATTGAGTTTATTTGTTCCAAGCTTGGTACATACAATTTGTATGCTCCAGCTTGAGGGGGAGTGTTAGGATATTTATCCTATTTTATCATCATTATAGTGTGTCAAGGGTTACCCTATTTATCATGATTATATTGTGTCTAGGATTACCCTATTTATCATGATTATATTGTGTCTAGGGTTACCCTATTTATCATGTATTTGTGTATCAATTTATTCTTATAAATAGAAGATTGTGAGAGGGATCAATTAAGCCCTCAAGAATTATTTCTTTTCAATCTTAAGTATATCCAACATCTTTATGATTCCTTTGATTGATGGACCTCTCTAAAGCAAATTGATAATGACATGATGTCTTTTATTGCTAAAGCTCAATCAACAGTTGAAGAATTGAAGATATTCCCATAGGTTGACAAAATTTTGTTAACCTATTGTTATAATCCTTTGTGCCATGAATCAAAATTTTGATCATTTTAGGGATCAAATTTTAAATGGTGAAGAAATTTCTTATGTGGAAAGGTTGACAACACGACTCTTTTATGTTCCAACTCATAAGAGTTGAGATATTTAAGAATATGCTGAGTCTTCTACCATGGTATCTACTCATGGAAGAGGAGGTCATAGCCCTATAGGAGTGCATGGTGGTAGAAGATATCCTCAATGCATAGGTCATACGCAAGAAAATTGCTATCCTTTTCATGACTTTTCTGACAAGACAGCTAACATATCCTAATTCGAAGTTGTTGAACCAAAGTTATCTAATGAAGAATATTAGAAATATTTGAGGTTGAAATCCAACAGTCTACCACAATCGTTTACAACTAGGAACATGTTAACAAATTGCATTTCGCAATATGTGGAGAGTCAAAGTCCATGAATTGAAGAAGTAACTCACCTCTCTAACAACAAATAGAATATATGGTCTTGTTATATTGAGATCCCTACAAGGATGCCTAGGTTTTGTACCGGCTTTCCATTCCTTGTTAGAAGTATATGAACTCATAGGCTTTGCTGGTTTCTCCTGGAATGTCTTCTTTCCCTCAAATGTTAATTGTATTTCCTATACAGATATCTTATAGCAGAATTTTTACTGTTTGCAGGTATCGTTGCTTCAAAGAACATACCATCTTGTATTTGATTTTACATGTACATGTTCTGGATGTAGTTTATTTGATTATTAACTCAATACAAACTTTAGACTGGATTTATGACCTATTCCTATCTTATGTAAAGTATTGTCAGTAAGAATGGTGTGATATATTGAGAAACTTAATCTTTTAATGTTTAGCATGAGCAAGAGTATTTTTATTGATTATTTTCCTCAAAGTTATTCGTATACTAATATTAAATGCATATATTATATTAATTTAAAATTCTATCTTTTTTAGGTCCATGATCATTCAAGAGTATTTGTTCTTGAAATTGGGACTGAAGAGATGCCGCCTCAAGATGTTGTTGATGCCAGTAATCAAGTATGACTTGTTTTCATCTAATTAAGAATCATGAATATAGTAACCTTCACTTTATCATTTGTTTAACTTCACATATGGATTTCAAGTGTGTTCTTTTTTACTTTTTACGTGATATAATTTATAAATTCTTTCAGCTATTTTCTAGACAACTATTACTATTTTTGTATTATGATTTTTCCTGTGAATTATTATTATTATTATTCATTCTTTAATATGGATTTTACTATGCTTGTCATGTAGCTGAAATATTTAATGCTGCAACTGCTTGAGCGGCAAAGGTTAAACCATGGTGAAGTGCAAGCATTTGGAACTCCACGTAGATTAGTGGTGAGGGAATAAACTTTATCTTTCATATGCAATTCTTGTTTCTTCATGCATTGCATTGTACTTAATTCCTCACCCTTATTGTTCCTACCCTCTAAGTTTTATCTCATTTGAAGAACTTGAATGAAGTAAAACAGTGTATTTTCTTATTACACTGTTACAATTTTACTACTGTATATATATGGTACAAAGGAGCATACTACAAAGGGTCAAGGCACTTCCTTAAACCCTAACCTAATAGTTGGGTTCCCATACATTATAATAATAAAGAAACATTACATTTCAACCCTTTCCCTCAAGCTGGAGCATATAAATCATATACACCAAGCTTGGAACATATAAATTGAATTCTAGGTCTCTTTAGAGACTTAGTGCAAATTGTTCATTAGAGCTGATAAACTCAGTAATAAGATCTTTGGACAATAGCTTCTCTCTAACAAAATGACAATTAATTTCTATATGTTTTATTCTCTTATGAAACACTAGATTGGAGGCAATGTGAAGGGTTGCTTGGTTGTCACAATACAACTTCATTTGCTCATTTTCAAAAAATTTCAGCTCTTGAAGGAGTTGTTTAAACCACACAAGTGCACATCTAGCTAGAGCCATAGGTCGATATTTCGCTTCTGCACTAGATCAAGCAACAACACTTTGTTTCTTATTTTTCTAAGATACAAGGTTCTCTCAAAGGAATACACAATATCCTATGGTAGATCTTTTGTCAATTGGACAACCAGCCCAATCTGCATCACAATATCCTTTGACTTGAGTTCTTCCCTTGTTCTCATACAACAATCTCTGTTCTGGGTTCCCTTTTACATATCTGAGAATGCAAATCACAGCATTCCAACGATCAATGTGGGGACTTTGCATAAATTGGCTCACAACTCCCACTGGATAAGAAAGATCAGGTCTTGTTATGGTGAGATAGACAAGTTTTCCAACCAACCTTCTGTATCTCTCTGGGTCTGAGAAAAGTTCACCTCGTTTGTCATTAACTTTTGATTTGAGTCCATAGAACTATCAATGGGCTTGCAATTTGCGAGGCTTGTTTCATCCAAAATATCAAGAGCATATTTTCTTTGTGAAATGATGACCCCTTCTTTTGATTGTGCCATTTCAATACCAATAAAATATTTTAGACAACCCAAATCTTTGGTCTGAAAGTGGCTGAACAAATGATTCTTTAATTGAACAATTCTAGTGACATCTCTTCTTGTAATAATAATATCATCAACATAAACCATAGGATAAATAGATTTTTCAGGAGAAGAATGATCATAAAACACTGAATGATCCGCCTCACATCGTTTCAATCCAAAATTCTGCATAACACGATTAAATTTACCAAACCAAGCTCGAGGTGATTGCTTCAAGCCATAGAGTGAACGATGTAATTTACAAACTAACTTAGACTCCCCCTAAGCAACAAACCTAGGAGGTTGTTTCATGTATATGTCCTCTTCTAGATCACTATGAAGAAAGACATTTTTAATGTCTAATAGGAAAGGGGTCATTCACGAATGACAACCATAGCATTTCAACAATCGCATTATAATCTATGTTTTGTATTAAATGATAAAATCTTATGTGAAGCATTTGCAATAATTCCTTTCAAGATTAATAGATAGTATCACCAAAATATATGGATAGAATCATAAATACAACCGAAGAACTTTATGTTTTGTTCTTGCATAAAATATTCAAATTTTATAATTCTTAAGATATGAAATGACAGTAATCATAAACTTTTCGTATTGTGAATTTCACAGGTTGTTGTTGAAAATCTTTACACAAAACAGGCTGAAAAGGAGGTTGAAGTTCGAGGCCCTCCTGTTTCAAAAGCATTTGATCATGAAGGAAATCCAACAAAGGTTTTACTATGCTTGAGGCTTTTCTTTTTATCCTAAGTTGATGTTCATGAAATGGTGCCTACATTTATATTTTTTGTATCAGGCCATTGAGGGTTTTTCTCGTAGATACTCTGTACCACTGGACCTAGTATTCAGAAAAGTCGATGGTGAGTATTCAGAAGAAGACTTGTTTACTGAGTGTATTTTACTGCTAATATACCTCTGTACCATAAGCTCAGTCCTGTAATAGGTACCTAATGTTGCAGGAAAAACAGAATATGTTTATGCACGTGTAAAGGAGTCTTCAAGATATGCTTTGGAGGTTTTTGTTCTTTATTTCCTTGTCTCGCCCTTTTGTGCGTTTTATGTGTTCTGTTAAAACAAGTATCGCAAATGTGAGTGTCTGTTTCTTAAAGGTATTTCTTTAAACCTTTTAATCCTAAAATAATTAAATAGGCCAATATTACTATGACATATTCTAATAATATGATTTATAAATGTTGTATGTAGAGTCCACTGAGCACTTCATTAAATGAAATGAAGCTTAAGATAATAGTGCAATATTGTACTCTTGGTTTCACTAAAAAGTGCTTTGTAAACTTAATAGTCTTAAAGACAAAATTTTGGAGATGTACAAACCTAATCGACTATAGAGAATACCAGCTGTTTTGATGAATGAGTTTTGATTATGTCCAGTTAGTTACCTATGTTAAGCTTGGGAGACTGATTTTGATTGAAGTTCCATTTATCATAAGACAGTATACATTTATGATATCTAATAGTTTGCCAAAGATACCTAATTTCTTCTATTTACTGTTATATCATTCATAAATATGCTTAGTCTTTCCAATTGTTTCTCATCTAATACATAATAAAAGGAAATTCAAGGCAAATTCACTTGAGATAGATTTAAGCACAATTTCTGACCACGGTTCCATGATATGATGCAAGAGTTGAGATATGAATCTTACACCCTGTCATCTAGGGTTTATTTCTCTTGCTTCTTGCACATTTTATGGGAAAAATGCTATAGCTGCTGATTTCTTCTACTTTTATCAGGTCTTGTCTGAAGATTTGCCTGCTACTATTGCTAAAATTTCATTTCCAAAGACAATGCATTGGAATTCTCAGGTATGCTGAATCTTTAAGGTTGTATATCTAGGAAACACGACACTTTATCAGCATAGATCGTAAAACATCTGAAGATAGATAGCTTTTGTCGTGAACTAACTCTCCCAAAAGCTAAGTTGTTAGGTGAATTGAAGATACATGAGTAACTTTATATCTCAGATCCCCTATTATGCACAACCCTTTTGTGCTTCAAACATGGACATTGCACCTACCTATTGTCCATCATACCTGTTTGCTGATACTGAATTTTGACTTTTAGTACTTGGAAGAATGGGGGCAACAAACTAACGATCACATGATTATAGAGACTCTGATATCATATCACAAACCAACACTTCCCAAAGCTTAAGTTATAAGGTGAAGACATTGGGATGATTTTATTTTACATTTCTGGAGATCACTAGACATGGGGATGGTTTTAATATTAAGTCTCTAACATAGTGATTAGTACATTACTTACAATTACTACAGCTAATAGTATATACTAATAATAGGGTATTGCAAATAAATGCCATAAGGGTATATGGTTAAAAAGCATTGAATACTCTCGGTTACTAAAAAGAACAAGTATTAAATAATTTGTGTTTTTAATATAATAAATGTTTTTTTCATTAAATATTTCATACTTTTGTTTCCTTAACTAGTTTATTAGGACATTCAATTTGCCTGTTGTCATAGAATAGTCGTATGAGCAGCAGGAAAAAGGAGTGAATAATTGAAAATTATATAATGCTATCATGGGGTTTCATTGTGGAGTAAAGGAAATCACAGGTTACATAAATTAACATGTTTTGAAACTTTTAACATGCAGGTGATGTTTAGCAGGCCTATCCGTTGGATTTTAGCTCTGCATGGAGATGTAGTAGTCCCATTTACGTTTGCTGGTGTGACAAGGTAATTTATTCTTGGTAAAATGTCTTCGGAGGTCCCTATTTCTGCGAATTCATATCAATTGGGTCCTCGTATTTTGAAAGTTCTCAATTGGGTCCCTATTTTGGTAAAATTGAGTCAATAATACCCTTGTCGTTAATTGCTGTGGACGGCGTTAATTTTCTTGCGATGTGGCATGCTGAGGTGTCCTTTAATTACGACGTGGCACAGGTTAACCAACCAGAACATACCACCTCACGCCTTCTGCCACACCATCTATGTCTTCTCCACATAAACCTTAATTCCCAAACCCTAGCTACTATGCGCCGCCACCGCCATCCTCACCAGCAGTCGTCTGATCAACCTTCGCCGTGAACCTCCATGGCTGTCGCAAGTCCTTTGTCACTCTCCTCCTTCATCAATCGCAAGCAACCTGCAGAAGATTAAACCACAAAACCCATAATTGCGCATCTGCTTCTCGCGCGAGAATCTACTCCAACATCTTCTCCATGGCAGCCACACGAATCACACATCAACTCCATTGAAGCCGCCACCACGAAATCGCCACGAGACCTGCATACCAGAAATCGCCACCAAGTGCCGCTGTGAAAGTTCCAATCGCGAGTTGTAGGCGGCGCAAATCACGGCCTCAAGAGTGTTGTCCTCGGCTGCCGACATGAACTCACAACATTCGTCGACAGTGTGGCTACCGAAGCTGACGGCGTGGTTCTTCTGGCATTCTCGGTACCGTACCGCGGCGGTGCCGAACGCCCCCTTCCGTCCCTCGCCGTCGACTTTTGAGCTTCATATTCAAGGAATCCGAACGCCCCCAACCGGATCTTCCCAGTGTTATAGGATATCATTGAAGAGTCAACCGAACGGTGGAAGAAGTCTGAGGCTACCGAACGGTCTGTGGAAGAAGGCTACCGAACAGTCTGTGGAAGAAGGCTACTGAACGGCCTATGGAAGAAGGCTACCGAACGGTCTGTAACGTGAAGTTTTAATGAATGAAAGAAGAAATTCTCACTCTTTCAAACCTATACTCTCTTGTTCGGATTCCTTTCTTCTTACCTGGATTCACTACGTCCTGGGTTCTTGTTCGAGACATCCGTCTTCCTAGAAGAACCATATCACCCAGAAACCAATTGAAAGAAAAGTTTTTCAGATTCTGCAAAGCTGGAAACAAACGGACAAAAAAGGGGAGAAATCGTCAACACATGACCGTGAAAATGAAAAAACTATATACATATATATAAAAATAAAACAAAAAATGAAAAACTAAAGAGAATCGATCTGAAGAACGATTAATGGAGGAGTTGGTGTTGTTTTGTTGGAATGTCTGACAGTGGTTTGAGAAAAATAAAAATAATATGATTAGAATGGAAAACAAGAAGGTGAGGAAGGTTTGAAGTCAGAAGGGGATCTGGAAGAGGAAGAGTCAGGTTTCCAATGTAGAGCTCGCGAAGCGTGGTGAGGTTTCCAAGCTCTGGAGGGATGTTTCCCGTGAGCTCGTTGCCGGAGACGGCGAGGTACTGGTGGTGCTGCCAGGTGCCATATTCAGGAGGAATCTGGCCGGAGAAAAAGTTGTCGCCGAGGTGGAGGTGGCAGACGAGGGACATGGCGGCGACGGGGAGGTGGACCTTAATTTGTTTTAAAGGATTTTATTTAAAACTTAAAATAAAATAAATTCCATCACATGTGCCACGTCATAATTAATTGCTGGGTCAGCATGCCACGATACACTAAAGTTAACGCCGTCCACTAAAATTAGGGGTATTATTGGTTCAATTTTACCAAAACAGGGACTCAATTGAGCACTTTCAGAATACGAGGATCCAAATGATACAAATCCGCAGTAATAGGGACCTCCGAAGACATTAAACCTTTATTCTTTTTAGGTCTTATCTCTACTTTGCCCTCTCCTAAACCATGTTTCATACTGGACTTTGTGCCTTTTTTTGTCATAGACGCCATTTCAACAGAACTCCATGTGAGCTGTATGCTTACTCATAACTGTTTCCATGTCATTTGAATAGATTTTATAAACTAAACACTGTTAGCTGACCCCCTATTAAAGAGGTGCTTACTGGTTAGTCTAAGTTGTCTGGTTGTAACCGTTAGCCAATTAGAGAGGAAGATTGAGGATTGAAAATTTTTATAAACTGGGTTTTTACATTGCGGTTTCTGTTGCATTGCATTACATTACACTATTTTTTTGCATTTATGGGTATCGTACAATCTACAATGCAGATAGGGGGAGTTGAGAGTTCTGCACACCTTGACACAGTTTTAAAAATTTCATGTCTTATTATATAATAATCTCATTAATCCATAATAATATATAATTGATATTTTCCCAATCTCCACTCCACAAGACACGTCTGATACCACAGGCTCACACATCAACCCTTTCAGCCCAAATTTGATCCCCCAAACCCCATACGAATGAGCCTAACTCATACACAGTCAAAATCCCTAGTTTCTAGATTCTGTTCACCACACCCAACCATGTAAACACATGCCCCTTTCCAAGTCACTCAGTTTTGACTTTTCCGTGCCGTCAACTCAGAAGTGACATTAGCGCAGAGACTGAGAATATGTAAATGGATGTAGCCTGATGGGTGAACCATGGATTTTTTTACTCATGACTTTTAACGAGGGCAACAAAGCTGTAGATTAGAAATGCTTCAGCTGTAGAGGCAAAAAAAAGTTTGCTATTGAAGCAGGTTTTGGGGGGATGGGAGTCTTTGATCTAGAGTTGGGTCAATTCAAATCCACTCTGCCAGCATGTAAGGTGAATATTGTCTTTGGTCGATGTGGTACTTAACCATCACCTTTAAGGAAGTAATTGAGCAACCTTCCAAAAGAGGCTGCAACTAAAGGTGGTTTTTCAACATGAAGAAAGGTAATAGAGATCACTCTTCGGTTTTGGAGTGGACATTGGGAGGTAGAGTCCAGGTCTCTTGGATATAATTATTCTTTTCTATTATTCCCCATTAGGTTCCATATATCTTTGTTGCTTATCAGAGACTGTTAGTGCAATATTTTATTGATAGCTATCACACAAGTTACATTCTTATCACCTCTATATTTAATAATCAAATTTCTGAAAATAAGGAAATAAAAGTATGCTGAAATAAGTAAGAAGATTCTAAAGATATTTGAAATTAAGTGTAATATTTGAACTATGTAAAGAAATAACAAACTATTTTACTGATAACAATCACCCCAATTATATTCTGAAATAAGTCTTTAAAATAAGGAAATATAAGTATTTTGAAATCAATAAGAATATTCTAAAGATATTTTTTCCTAACCACTATGGAGATCTTGAGGATGTATTTATCCTAATTATCCGTTCTTTACAACATTTCGCATCAAATTGATAAATGCATATTGATTATTCTCAATTTAGCTACAAGATTCTGGAATCTACCCTAAGGAAGCCCCTTAGTGAATTTGTTAGCTACCTGAAGTCATGTAGGGACATGGGTTGCAACCACAAGACCTTTTGATGAAGTGTTTGTCAAGTTTACTTTGTTTGATGACTGACTTGTTATCATAGTACATTCACCCATAGTTATGTAAACTTTTGTTCTAAGGTCCTCCAGAATGATTTTTGTCTAGAGTTCTTCACACACCTTGAGTAAGGGTTCTACAATTCAGTTTTGACATTAGAACGAGATACTCTATTCTGGTTTTTTCTTTTTATTTCATGAGTGAAAATAGTAAGCAGTTCAATTTGTTAACTAAGTTTTTTGTCCTTGAATTTCTGAGAGAACACAAAGCAAAAATGTTTAGATTACATGTGGCTGCAGATAAACAGGAAATGCTCAGAGTACATGGAAGTTTCTGGAAGGAAAAAACACTCAGTGCAGTTAATTGTCAAAGGGCTCAAAGGGCACGATAATTGTCAAAAATTAAATAAAATCTGTCCAACATTTCATACTTGCTGGAAAAACATCGGCAAATAATCATAAATGTGACTGCAAAAAGCTTGCCGAAATTAAGAAACTCATTGAAATATGTCAGCTATTTTTAACAATATCTTTTGAAACGATTGCCTAAGGATTCACGAGTGAAAATTTAAATAGTGCAGATTGTTTCCACAGTTTTCTATCATTCAATTCCTTAAAACAAAAGCTGCTTGAAAGCAAAATTATTCAGATAACTTGCGGCTGCTGGTAAACAAGAAATGCTCAGAGTAAATGGATGTTGCTGGAAATAAAAAACATTTAAGAGTGCATTGGATTGGTCATAATTGTCAGAAAAAAATCTGTCCGAAAAATGTCAACAGTAAAGAATACTTGCTGGAAACATGTCAGCAGTTAAACATAATTCTGACTAAAAAAAGCTTGCTGGAATTAACAAATTCATTATAATATGTCAACAGTTAATAATAACGTCAGCTATGAACAGAGTGAACAATGATGGCAACAAACAATTCTTATTTATGTTGTTGGCATACCTACTCAACAATTACTTTATTCATTTCTTTTCACTTAACCTCCCTCAGTATTTTTATTTTACTGAAGATGGCTTACCAGATAAAAGAATATCATGATGGAGTGTGAGATTTCTACATTGCGAAAAGTAAAAAGATCAAAGAATAAATCTAGGGAAATAATATCTTGGCCAATTATTCCAAGGCTTAGCTGACACCAATTATGTTAAGTTCTTTTTGGTTTATTAGTTTATTATCTGATATGTGTGAATAACGATTTTCATGTTTGTTTATATTATACAGTGGAAACATGTCTTGCGGTCTTCGTAATACTTCTTCAGCTGTTGTCCAGGTGCATGCCTGAAGCACAACCTTTTACAACTGCAAATTAAGCTTATTTTCTTCATCATTCTCACTTTTATTCTATGACTTTTAATCTGATGCATGGTTGAAACAACAGAGTTCTTTGAGAAATATTGTCCATATGCATGTCTGATTTTGTATGTCTAGTAAAACTCTTACATTTGTGTCTAAATTTATACCAATGGCTTAAGATCGCTGCTTCATGTAGAGAAAGTATTAAATCTGACATGAATAAGGGCAGAGAATAGTAAAATCTGATTTAATTGACAGGAGAAATTCACATAACCAAATTGAGATTAAAATTATTTCATTGTACTCAGAAAAAGAGTTAAAAATATGTCTTTGGATTATGATGGAAAATCTTTAATAAACCCAAGACATAGAATAATATAATTAATCTTTCTAGAAAAATGTTTAAAAGTTGATCTGTGGAGTTTTTCTCATGCTGATGTATAATTATGCCCATCACATGCAAGAAACATGTTGACTGAGGTAAACTTAGAACATTTATTTCTTACTAGAGAATTATAGGGAGATATTAAACATAAGATTTAAGCTTGGGTATGAATGGGAAGAATGCCTGAGGTATTATTTGTGATAGAATGATGCCCCTGAACTTGAAGCTGTAAAGACACTTTGACCTCGTGGTCATAGGACCAACAGTGCAGTGATTAAGTCACAGAATGATGTTGGGTGATAAAGTGCTAACCAGAACATAAGTTCTATAGGGATGATGACATTTGGTGGATGTGTGATACGCAACAAAAGGATAAGATTAGGAATGAATGTATTAGATAAGAGGTTGAGGTGGCACCTCTTTACGTAAAGATGATAAAATCATTCTTAAGATGATTTGAACATGTGAGAAGAAGACCAATAAAATCCCTAGCTAGAAGGGTTGATCAAATAGGATAGTTCAGTATCTAGAGTAGAAGTAAACTCAAACTTAAATTGAAACCTTATAAAAGGATTTTGGTTAACCTTTTTAAGGAATTGTCTTTTGATAGAACAAAATGGTATAATTTGATTCATGTAACTTGGTTGAGTTAGCGAGTATGTTCTTTATTGTTTTTCTTTGTTTAGTGTTTGCTTTAGTTTCTAGCAATCTTTGGAAATTAGTTTTTGGCAATTCTAGTCAGCTTTATTGGTGTCCATATTGTTTTTGTACCTTGAGTTGGGATGATTGCAAATTACATTTTTGCATATTGTTTTTACAAAAGGAACCGTGCTATATTAATTGTAGGTGGAAAATGCAGAATCTTATTCAGTTGCAATTAACAATGCAGGAATCAAAGTTTCAGTTGAGGTACAATTGATAAGTTGTTAATATAAAAATTCATACACATGCATATATTTGCAAATATATTAAATAATTAGATTGGTATTTTTTCAGGACCGTAAGAAAATTATTTTTGAGCAATCTAATGCATTAGCCAAAGGTGTAAATGGCCAAATTCTTATTCCAAAAGGTTTGCTTGACGAGGTAAAAAATTTTGTTCCTTCTGATTAATGTTGCCCACGTAAGTTCACTTCTAAGAATTCCCTTTTATATTTAATATTAGGTTGTAAATCTTGTTGAGGCTCCTTTTCCCGTGCTTGGAAAGTTTAAAGAAACCTTCTTAGATCTTCCAAAAGATCTTTTAACAATGGTGAGCATTTCACTTTTTTGTGGTTTTTTAATTTTTGTTTGGAATCCGTTTGATCATTAAGCCAGTTCAAATCATAATTCCATCTCAAATAGTGTGCATGGGCATGCTTATTTTTAAAACGGATGATGTCCGCATTCTTATTTTTATTTACTTTTAGAAGTGATGTTGCAATATGCAAAATTACTCTCTGCTTGTTCTTTGTAATATCTAAATTGTGCCCTTTTTTATTTTGAAGAGAATTATTGGAAAACCATCTTATTTATATTCCTAAATTAGCTTGCCAGCCTTGTGTACATGTGTTACGTGCCTCCTCAAAGAATAGAAAGAAGATAGAGAAAAACATATACTAAGATTCTTCTTTCTGTATTATTATAGTAGTTATCAACTCTGAGCATAGAATCAGCTTACAAAGGAAATCTCTTCCTTTTACATAGGGCATTCCCTTTCACAACAACTGAAAACTCTCCTTCCCCACACCCCACAAGATAAGACTATATATGGATTTTCTCAGAAAGTCTCACCCCAACTAACTTAATTATTTATATTTTTAAATTTCTTTCTACAATGCACTTTCCACTCCTTCTCATTACTTCCATGCTTCACATGACTGATGTATGCTTGGCATAAATGAATGAAATTAAGTTATTCTACCCTAAGTACTGAGAGTTAGATACGTCACTCTTCCATTTTCTGTTTTTCCTTCATGACAATTGTAATTCTCTAGTCTATATATAGGTGTCTGTAACATAATATCAACTCTTTTTCTGTATGTACATTTTCACTTTTAATATCAGTTTTTTATTCAATAGGGATTGTATTAGATCCTTAGATCAAATACTAAGAAAAGGAAATTCATTAAGAAAGCAAATAAAAGTACAGAGTTAAAGAAGGCCTGCGCTTGTGAAGTAAAATTAACCAATATTAACAGCACCAATTATTCTAAACAATTACATACATCTACTTTTAACTACTATTGAAGTAGAAATTAATATTTTAGACATATAGTTCACCATGAATTCAAATGAATGCAGTTGGACATTTTCTAGATGTAAGTTAATCATTACTTATTTTAGAGAAATTTGCTGCACTAAAAAATTACAACAGAACTAGGACAGCACATTACAGACATGTTGGGAGAAAAACAATGAGAGGCCTGCACTTTTGTAGCAGGTCACTATTGTGAATCCTATTCATAGAAGTTCGGACAAAAAATTGACATTAGGTGGCTGAGTTTGCAAATGTGTTTAAATTGTAAGCAAACTATCTCTAATATGGAACTAAAAATGTTATTGTTTTTAAAATCAGACCAATTTTTGAACTGGTAAAGACACTGATTCTTGATTTATTGGTCTAACGATTCAAAATAGTGAGAATTAGGTATGTATTTTTCATTATTTTATGATATGTTTTGTAACAAAATATATGAAATCATATGAAACCAAGTTAGGTAAAACTTTAAATTAAGATAAAAGGATAGTTGAAATTGATAATAATTGTAAATAAAGCAAATTTTATTTAAAAATGTACATAAACTTTAATCCAATTTCGGATGTAATGAAGAGTTTGCATGAAATTACCAAGGAATGTTGGCAGAGCAGTGATGAAGGCTAGATTCAAGATTCTGTGGGGCATCCTTAAGGTCATGGGGAAGTATTGAATTTGTTATATAACTTGAAGCTTTCATCAGTAACACCATGTCAAATTCAGCAGTTTGCGGTTGCACCAATTTAGTGGTTTTCAGCACTCACTGCCCTTTCTGTTATATATATATATATATATATATATATATATATATATATATATATATATAT